GTTAATGGGTCAACTATATGGTTTTTCAACTTATTTTGTCTTGCCATTACGGTTTTTTTTTATGGCTCACACAAAACTGATCAAAACAGAAGGAACTGTAATGGTAAAATGTTACTCAAAATAAATTCCAACTTATCTGGAATAAATGGTCTTTTTTAAGTTTTTACAATTACCACAGCAAACTATAAACTCAGAAAAGATATCTATACATGCGGTTGATGCTTATTTACACGTCCATTTTTTTCTGTTCATTTTCACACAATTTCAAATTAAGATGTGGACAAAAACAGTTTTTAAACAAAATTTCTGTGCATGTATATAAGACATGTCCACCGTTAATGAAATAATTTTTCCAACTTGATTTTAATACAAGGTATTTTCTTTGAAAGATATGTGATCATATGACTAGAAATTGGTAGCACTGTAAAGTGTTACTAAATGTACTACATGGGTGAGCATTAATACTACATGTATTAGATGAGTGAGCATTAACACTACATACACCTAGATGGGTGAGCATTAACACTACATATACCTAGATGGGTGAGCATTAACACTACATATACCTAGATGGGTGAGTATTAACACTACATATACCTAGATGGGTGAGCATCAACACTACATATACCTAGATGGGTGAGTACTAACACTACATATACCTAGATGGGTGAGTATTAACACCACATGTAATGAAATAGGTGAGCATTAACACATGTATTAGATGGGTGAGCATTAACACTACATGTAATGAAATATTAATGTAGTCCCAGCAAAAGTAGAGGTAACCATTTTGTAAAATTATTGTTTACAAAATACTGTACAAATACAGCAAATTAAAAGTATCATTGAATATCAGAGTTAAAAGTCCTCAAGGATTCTCTATCTATTTATCCATATCAATTACAATAGCATCAAAACAAGTATTACCACTTCATAATGATATAATGCAGTCCCTTACCTCATATATACCTTTGAACGAAGTCACAAGCTTACTGAGAAGGGTGGCTACAATGCTTGCCACATGTACAAACGGACCCTGAAACATTTAACCAAAAGCAAGTTAACCTTAAATTTATGAACAAATTGGTGCAAAATAATGCATGAAAATATTAAATACATACAGAAATATTACAACAAAACAGTTATTAATCACTACCTTTTCATAATATTACAATTTCTTCAAACTGCATTGCGAGTTTTAAAGCTTTTAAATATATAAATTTTGCTATTTACAGAAATTATCATTTTTATACTACTGCAACATACTTTCAAGTACTCCCAGTGAGATTTCAACTGTTAACATTTTGTTAAAATCTTTCAAGAATACTTTATATATAACTAGAAAAAATATTTCTTCTTAATTAGCACAAAATATTTCTTGAAACTTATCGTAATTTGGGGTAAAAATTATGAAATAAGTAGGGCAAAATACACTAGTTTTTTTTTCAAGTATTACACATAAGGCCCACTACACTCAATATACAATATATATCAGTTCATTAAAAAATTTAACATTAAATCCCAAAACAAAAATACAGGAGTAAGTTAGCCATTTTTTACCAGTTAAACTTGAAAGACAAAAAACATATACTTTATTAACTACAGAACATTTTGTATAAATTGTTTTATAAAAACATCTTCTGATAAATGTAGTAAGTTAAAATAACAGTACTTGAATGTTTAGCATATAACATTATACAAAATAAAAAAAACAATTTTTGACTGAAACAAAAAGAGTAAATGAAATGGTTCAGAAATTAATATACAATTATATTTATATACGCCATACAATTAGTTAATTTCATCAAAATAACCAATCACTATCTTCAGTCAAAATATTAACATAAAAATAAATGTCAAGGATGAAGTTAGATTTCGGTTACTCTTACCTGTATCTATGTATACATTAAAAAGAAAAACTTTAGTTTTGCATTCTATCTGTCTGACAAAAATTGTACAAACTTATGAAGAATGTTAGAAGACTTGAAGTTCAATCAATGTTATAATAAGTCAATTACACTATATATGCTATATCCAAAGCCAGCAAGGTCTTTCATCCAATACCAGAGATCATCACACTCATCTAAAGTTAAGGTATTATTATGGTAGTTTTCGTTTTAAAAAAAAAATGCCTTAGTAGTAATTACAAGTGACTTTTAGCTCACAAAGAACACCTATCCTAGGATTTATTTTCTCAGATCACTCGATGGATGCCAGTTTTTTTTTGTGTGGTAATTTCAGTTTTTGCATTTCCTTCATTCACAACTTGAACCCAAAGCCTCCCTCACATACCACCAGAGTGCTCTTTCAACTGAGCTAAAGAGTTAACCCACATGATCTGCCCACTTTCCATAAAACATATAATGCTTACCTCCTTGCCTAGTGGCATGCCACTACCTAGAGAGGCAGTGAGACCAACCATCTTGGACACTAATGTTCGAAATGTAAGGTATTCTTTAAGCACAACACCTCGAAGAATTGTTTTCATTTCAGGAATGCCAGATCCTACAAAAAAAAATTAAAATATGTGTAAAGTGTATACAATAATTCAAGGAAGTTTCTTATTTGTAACATAGAAGTTTCTGGGAACATCATGTGTAGTGTTATTTATAAAAATATATCACAATTGTGCACAGGTAGCTAAGTAAATAAAGATATACACCATTTGTTCTCTCATTTCATTACTATTACTGGTTACAGCATCACATGTGTATGTAAACATATGTTTTAAATCCTTTTACACTTCTGGCAATTATTTTGCATTTTTAGCTTAGTATACAGATTTAAAACGAGATATTGAGAAGACAGTTCCAGAAATATTGATAACAGCGAGGGTATTCAACTGATGAATCAGTGATCTAATTATAAGTTTATTCTCAACTGTTTTATGACAAATAGCACTAGTTTGTACATTTATAAAACTATCTTCATTATTTCTTATGTTAATTTTTGTTCTGATCTATGTAGTTACTTTGCTTTGATTAGAAAATACTGATAATTATAATTAAAAACAGTACAAATACAAAACTAATATCAAAATCTAAACATGATGCATAACAGGCATTTGTAAGCTAATTTTACATAAAACAATGTAAGAAAATTTACAAGCACTACGCATAACGTCAGTTCAGCCTGTATAAGTTCATTTATAAACCTCAGTAACAGAAAAAACTAACAAAGTCAGCTGTAGATAATATATACAACTTAACACTGTATCAGATGAAACTGGTGAAACCATATATTAAAAAGCACTCTTGTTAAACGGATGGAAACAAGCAACAACCCACTCAAAGTTAAACAAGTGCAGATGTGATGAAATGGTGGTGTGTTTGTTTACATTTGGACTTGCAATTATATCTGTTAGCTGAGTCAGCTGATAAAATTAACAAAAACAACCTAATTATTATTCAAACATCTAGGACATCCTATTTGTGTCACAGATTTTCATTTTTCTTGGTCTAAGCAATCTGTTTATTAACAAAATATTTGTCAACTAAAAATAACTTACTTTCAAAGTGTACAGAATTATTTTGTCATAGATATAATTATCCACTATATATACAAATCCTTTAGTATAATACAAATTTATCACAATTGTGCTCACAAACTCAAAGAAAAACATTAGTAAATATATGTCAAACAACAAAAATTAAATCTAAAGTAAACACAGGCTAAGCACAACAGGAATTAGTTCCTGATCATAAAACACCGAAGAAAAAAAACATAACATTAATCACATTTAATTTGATAAGTTTATCACTTGATGTTCTACACACAAGTGGGTCATCTAATAGGTTTCATCCATGTTTAACATACTGACAAAATGACCTTTGTATGAGTTTTAGGCACCTGGAAATAAAGGAGAACAAACCAGATTATAGTACTTTAGATACAAGATATCTCTCTCAACTGTAGTCAGATAATGGTTGTAGAGACAAATATAAAGAAAAAGTGGTTTTCGATAAATGTGAAACATCAGCTGCAGAACCAACACATGTGCAAGTTTATCAGAAGTAAAGAGGAACTTTATCAACCAAGTTCAGAGTACAGCATGTTCAACTCCATACAGGCTAATTCTAACCATTCTATACTCAAAACTCATTCCAGTGTTTTTAAACTTACCCACTGCTTGAGCAGCAACAACATGAACAAAACCTGCAGAGAACAGCATAAGAATCAAAGGAAAAGTTAGCCAAGCTAAATACTGCTGGGCTGGATGTTCAGTGAGATCTCGATACAACCAGATGCGAGCTGGAATGAATACAAATTAATATTTTTATTTATTGCTCAAGTCATTTTATTTACAATTCAACTACATAGGTGTGATTGAGTCAACAACAACAGCCTATTAACTACAGCTTTGCTGTAAAAAAAAAATGTGTTGTGTTAAATTATTATAATACATCAAAGCTAAACTATGCAAGTTACAAAATGAGCTTTTATATAATATGAACTCTAAACTACCCGAGTTAAAAGATAACCTATGATGAAATATTATCAAATCTACACACTACTGAAACATAAAATTAGTTTTGACGTACTTTTCCAGTAGATAAATAAAGAACTTGATTTAACACGACAGTCTTCAAATTTTAATGATATGCATTTTTAAAAAGGGTTTTTCCAAGTATGTATGATTCAAACTTGCTAACATGCTTGAACACTCAAAATTACATGTCAATTATATATGTATATACTTTTTGTACTTTCACATAAAAAGCTAGAAAAAGACCATACAAAAAAGGTATAATGAACTTTGTATTTACAAAAACTATGACATAAAACTTAAAATCTAAAACTGAGTAAAATATATCTAAAGGATATTTTTGGATCAAAAAATTCTTAAATCTTTTGAATTGGAATCAGCAAAACTTAAGTAAGCATTATAGAACAGATCCTAGTAGCTTGTTCAATGATACAAGATAAATACAATAGATGTCAGATTTGAATCAAACGAGTTAAAGAAAAATTCATATATTATTCAAACTTAAAAAGAGAATTTAACAAAACTTGATAGAGGAAGAATTATGTTACAATGAAATATTGAAGTTGTAATCCTGATTTAATACCCACAATGTAGACCTCTGGTGGTAAAAACTGCCTGCTATGGTATGGTAATATGTCTCATTACATTTCTGACAAAAAAGCTAGTTTATATTCTTCAAGTGTCAAAAGCATGCAGTTGGGAAAACAGCCCACACTTACCTTTGTACTTACGCAGTTGATCTTAATATTTATAAAACTCCAAAATGTACAGTCTTATTTATTAAATCAGTGGCAAAATCAACTGATGACACTTTATCTAAAACCTTTTAAGTTTCCACACGTTATCTTACTATCATAAAATACTGAAAATAAACTGACTGTTAAAGTTCTAATTTATCACCATACAGAAGTTAGAATCCCATGTGTAACATCACCATACAGAAGTTAGAATCACATGTGTAACATCACCATACAGAAGTTAGAATCACATGTGTAACATCACCATACAGAAGTTAGAATCACATGTGTAACATCACCATACAGAAGTTAGAATCACATGTGTAATAATAAACTGTTGAAGATAAAGCTGCTTAAGTGGCTGAGTACCTTAAAAACTCTTTCAACACCTCCATTCATAGCATTTAATACTTGCATATGTAATGGTCAGCAATAAAAGGACACATGAAACTAGAAGGAACTATATGCACTATTAACTAATTTATTACCCTACACTAAATAAATCTTCGTATCAATTTAACACCAAAAACAGGAGTAATAGAAAGGAAACCCGACAGAGAAATTCAAGAAATCTATTTGTTACAAGACTTTCAGATATGATAATAGATTTATATTAGAAGATGAGTCATAACTTTAATTCATTGTAATATCAATTTCACTGGCAAGTCTTTCTAGTTAGATCTTAATAACTACCTCGGATCTCATGTATTGATAACCACACACAAGTTGGCACTATAAATATTTAGTGATAATCATTTTAAATATGATTTTACTCTTGAGCCTTTGCATGAGTTAATAAGTTATTCTTATCATGAATTTGCAATTATGTGTATCTTTTAAATGATTTATGATTCTATGTTCAATATTCTACATGAATTTGAGACAGGTTACCAACTTCAAGGGAACCTTTTACCCTAACATTAGGGAACATCACACACACTATTTACACTACCAAATCCACTCATACATTACATTACTTTGCATATTTTATTAGCCTCTGACAACTTTAGATGCTATGACCATTTGATAAAATAAAAACAGGCCAAAATTTTACTTTTATATTTTGTGTGTGTGTGTGTGTGTGTGTGTGTGTGTGTGTGTGTGTGTGTGTGTGTGTGTGTGTGTGT